TTCATTTTACCGCCCCCATGAAAAATGAAATTGCCCCCTGGGGGGCATTATCGCCCACGTTAAGAACCTCTGATGTATATATTTTAAGGGCTGATTTTCAATACTTAAGCTTTCTCTTCCTTCTCATAACTTGCAAGTTAAGTTATGGAATTGTTTTCAGTGAATTACCATATTTTTCTGTGTATAAGATGCTACTTTTCCTAAAATCATTATACTAAAAATTGAGGGGTGCCTTTTACACAGAAGTAAACTGAGATAGCTGAGGAGAGAACAAAATGACCATACCTTGCCTCTGTAAACAGGCTTCCTTCAGGCTGGAGAATTAGCTTCCTACAGTCAGGAGACTTAGTTTCCCCCAGTCATGAGCCTTATGGAACTGATGTCAGCTGATGCTGTACAAACCAATTGGAACACACCTCCTTGGAGGTGGAGCCTGTTTCAGATTCAACAGGGGCTCACATCGTCAGAGTGTTCTGAGCCCAGAGGATGAATAATCAAAGCTTTCTTAATTTTTGGGTTACAAAAATGGGGTGGGGGGTGTTTCTTATAAACAGGGTGTGTGTTATAAAGGGAAAAATACAGTAATCGTAAATTCCTCAGTCAATATTCAGATCATTCTTTCACTATTTAGTATTCAAGCAGAAGACTCCTCTGTGTGACTGTATGAATCTTCCACAGCCATTAAAAGAACCAGGGTTCACAAGATTTGTGACCTACAACATCACTCACCATCCATGGTTCATCTAAGTTTAGCTGCCACCCTCCAAGTAGCTGGGAAATAAATGGATTCCCCCAGAAATAGTGTATTATTGCAAGTAATGCCTGCTGTGATGTTCAAATATGGTTTTGTCTCAAATGGACCGTCAAGAGCTTAGAGCCGGTCACTTTGCAAAAGATCTGCTGCTCATTTCTTGACAGGTCTTGAGCATCCTCTAGAGGTGTTGTGACAGCCATGCCCATCTTGAGGGGCCACAATGCCTCTGAATCAACCCCAAATGGTCTTTGCTTATCAAAGGCCCAAAACCCAGTATTTAAAATTGGCACTTCACAATCCTCCACCACGCAGTCCGAAGTAGTTTTTCTGCAAGCAGAACCCCTGAGCAGCATAAAGTCCTTTCCCAGGAATCCTGCGCAGGATTCCATTAGGTGCAGGAACTGTAAAACAATCCTGTGCAGTTTGGCATTCTTCCCTGAAACAAATAACCATAAAATTTCTGAGTCATCCCTATGAGCCTTCGAGAATATATCCTATTAGATTTCCTGCTAGACGTCTAACAGAGGAAGAAAGCTTGTACAAAGAAAAGTTACTGCAAGGAGAAAAATTATATCCGCCACCCTGCATTCTCTCCAACAGCTAGAGGCTGCAAGTTTCCCATCCCTGCTCTGAAATGCATCCCCTGTGTAAATGAACCCTTTGCCCAATGAATACATACGAGATTGCAACCTAGATCAGATATGGAGTCTGCTTTAGAATCCAGTGACAGGCCAGCTCATGCAAGCACCCTATTCTCAATCAAATATGTTAATCTGCATACAGAGAACTAGAATTAATAAAATACAGTATTACTGAAATTATTGGGGACCATTCCATTCAGAGGATATAATTACTACCGAACAGTTTTGTTTTGCTGCCACCTGCTGGAGATCATCTATGACACATCCACTGTAGAATATCTTTGTAACAGAAAGGAAAAAAAATACATTTTTCCACAGTACGAAAATGTATACAATATACCACGTTTTGGGGGACAGTATTTGAAGGGAGAAACAACTAAATAACTGGACAGCTTGCTATTTTCTGCAAAGTGAAACAGAAGTTTCATTTAAGAACCTGATTGTTTGGTGGCTCTCTATAAAATCAAGGTTCTACTATTCATCATTAACAGCAAGTAGCGATATACTTAACCACAGATTTATATGAGATTGCTCAGTATTATTAGAATTACTTAGCAAGTTAACAAAGCAGAAAGTAGAGCAAACATAAGTACTCCTTGAGCATGCTTGTGTAGCATCAACTAGGAATCTAAAGAATTGTTGCTGGTTAGCTTAGTGGTTTAGATATCTCACGGCGGCTGGCGGGGTTGGGAGTTCAGTTCCCCACTGGGCCTCCCTGACAGGGGCTGGACTGGATGACCCACAGGGTCCCTTCCAGCTCTGCATTTCTAAGATTCTAAGGGAAGCCCCAGTGAGGTTTATTTCAAGGTTAGTACAAGATTATAACCTAATAGTTCAACAGTTCAGTACGGAGGCTGCAGTTGTAGGAATGTTTAATGCATGGATATAGTGGAACATTTTTCTCATTAAATGTCTGTTTGGTTTATAAAGAAATGAAGAATTTGGACAAAATCACAGTAACACAGAACAACCCTGAGAAACACATTTAAAATATACACAGGACTGGTATCATATGCTTTCTCTTTGCCTGAAGTCAAAATTGTACTTCTTGCTCCTTTTTCCAATAGCTTACCAGTAATTCCAGACTAGACTTTTACATATGTCTGTCTGATCCCTTTGAATCCAACTGTGATTTTTGGGTCTTCCTGGCTCTTTGGGAACACAGTTCATTTGCTTCCAATCTTTCATCAGTTCGCTTCTTCTTGCTTCCAGCATGTTATCGATTCCTATCTCCAGCCTATATGCAGCATAATCAGCAACAACTCTTTCTCTTTGGGTCCTTTGCTCTTCAATGTCCTCCCTTTCCCATCATGATTTCAGGTATTTGCCTCCTCCACCCACCTTTTCCCCCCATGAGTTTGTAGGATCCTTTCTGGTGATGGTTCTATTTCCCTTAACAATTAGAAAATTTGTGAAACATGTCATGACATCACAACAACTCAGCTAACACCCAAGAGGGCAACAGTTAGCAGATTAGCAGTAGATTACAGCTAGGCTAGGCGCCCACTGTAACATGCTAACTCAGTGGTATTAGTAACATAACTAATTTCAGATATCTTACATGGAAGCGATGCTTGAGGAATGTTGGCTTAACAACAACAACAATAACCTCCTGCCTTTTAAAATGATTTATGAAATACAAAACCATAAATTAAGTCACCTAATGGAGAGGTAAGAGCTATCTTTCCTATGATAACAGGAACAATTTGCAGACATAACTACAGTAGAAATGTTTTCATATTGTAACTCTTTTGTTACACAGAAGACAATGGGAATTTGTATCATCTCCACATATGATCCATGCTTTTGGATCATATCCACAATTTTTAAAAAATGTAAATATCCCACTTGATAAATCATATTAGCAGATAAAAACATCAGTATACATATAGCTGAGAGAGTGGAAAAATGCTTGAATAAAAATGACTTTTACTATCTCAAATTCTGTAAAAATTTATTTTACCTTGAATGTCAAGCATATTACAAATAACAACAACAGACAACAACAAAAGGCCAGTTATAAGTAAGTGCACTTCTTTGCATTAATACTTTAAATTGGACACAAACTCTAATGGAAATTGTACAACGGAGCTGATCAGAATGCTAACAGTGCTTTTGCTTGCATCTCATTTCACAGAATAAACATAGACATGCCTTGCTTAAAACATACAATGAAGCAGCGTAACAGAGACTGGGAGTCAGCTAGTAAGCACGAAGTATATCTTGTAAACGATTCTTTGACAATTGCAGTCCTGCAGAGCACAGCAAACATGACACCACCACGTTCTACAGTCAGACTGAAAAAATGGAATGTGGTAAATTTTGGTTGTGCAAAGGTTTGTGCTGTTGTGGTGGTTTATCTTCGCCAGATTATCTTGAGACTTGTTTTTTTATTTTTTAAAAAAGAAGAAATTCATCTTATAAATTTGTTTCGGGTGTCTTCGGAGTTTTCTGCCACTTGCGAATGTACTTTTTAAATTGGATATTTGCACACATTTGCCGCGCACAACATGGATAACAATATTTATACGAAAGAAAACGTGATAATATTTTTTTTAAAAAAAAGACTTCAGTTCATGTATTTCTGGCAAGAAAAGTATAAATGTTGAAATATGAAGCACACACAAACTGATGAAATTCACAAACATCTGAAATAACCAACCATGTTCCATGGAAATTAGGATGCTGTCTAACCCTATTCAGGCATTTAGAAAAGAGTTGGTTAATTTGAAAGTGTGAGAAGAGTTCTGTCCCACTGCTGTCTCCACATAAAGATGAACAATTTTCTGTTACAGACAATGAGTGGGGTTAATCAACCCTTTTTTGAACACCTAAATACAATTTCTACATGGACTGAGTGCAGAACGCTTCACAGTGATGATGTACATCTGATGACCAAGTACTGAGAGCCAATCCATCTTCTGGCAGAGTCAATAAAAATGGACTTCAAAAAGAAGGAAATGTCATGGCCAAACATGATAAATTAAAAAAAAATCATTCTCACTGGATGTCAGAGTCCCAGTGAAGCTAAACATCAGTCATAGCTGAAACGAGTGAGACTTAAGTTTATGATTGATGACTAACTTTTAATTTAATCGTGACCCCTTAATGAAATTAGCTTTTCATTATTTCCAAAAGCATAGGGACAGGTAAGTTTAAGTGGATTGGGACTCAGAGGCTTAATCAGACCAAAGGCCCCTTAGTTTTATATTCAACATGGAATATTCTACCGCATTAATTTATGCACCAGAGGTACTTCAGTTCCTAGGAAAGTGAATTATTGCCAGCCATCTTCCTGAGACTTGAAAGATCATAGAAGGCAAGCACCAGGCAAAGTCTGTTATTCCAGGTTAATAATTGGGTCCCTTTCTAAATGGATCTCTTCCTACAATTACACTAAAGCATAAAGATGGGTCGCAAATTCCAGGCGGTCCAGTTTGTCCACGAATTCCAGGATTGCCACGTTCTCCATCTTTACCTGGGTTCCCACGTTCTCCAGGAGGTCCTTCTTTACTCATCCCAGGGGGGCCTTCAGGACCTTTAGCAATGTAAGAAATAGATGGGGTGGAATGTTTAGTGTCCATAGAGCATTAGCATTCACAGCTGGATCCACTATACTAAAAAAAGTCAACTGCACAAATCCTGTTGCTTAGTTTAAGTCACAGTTAGAATAGGCCCATTGGACTCAGTGGAACTTACAGAGGAGCTGACTCACCAAATCTCCACTGATTCAATGGTCCTACTCTAGCTGTCGCTTACAATAATAAGCAACAGTATTTTGGCCATCCTATTGTGTTTTTAACAGTTTAAAAGACAAATAACACGTTAAGGAGATTAGAGTCCTGGTGTAATACAAGAGTGCTTACCAGTTGCCAGGATGGTCTCGATGGTCTCCATCAAGGCATACTTAGCAGTATCCTAGGATCATGTCCTGCTCACTACAATTACCAAGATGATGCTCCTCCCCTTACTATCCTGGCCTGGCTTCTGTACCACCTCTCTTATCTGATGGCACCTCCAAGCGAAGTGTCCATCTCCCGAAGTAAAAAAGAACCATATTAGGAACAGTGAAGGAGAGAGAGACTTCCCATCAGTGATGAGGGACACATTGCCTCTGAATAAGGGAGCCTGGGCATTATATTCCAATGACCATTTGTCTGGATTTGGGCTGGATGTTCCTCCAGTTTGGGCTCTGTCAAGATCCTGGTCTAGAAGTGTAGCTCTCTGGACAAAACGATTCTCAGTATGGGGGTGGTGCAGCAGTGCACTGAGTACATTCCAGTGCAAGAACTCATTGTTGGCTCCCCCTTATATAAAAAAAGCAGTTTCAAGTGATATATTCTCAATATTCGCTGCAAAAAAAAAATCATATTCGTGCCACACAAACCATTCAAGAGCCCATTAAGGCTCACATCCTTTGAATACTTGCATCCCAAATTATTAAACAACAAAAATACCTGGAGGTCCTGGAGGTCCCGGTATCCCAGGAACTCCAATTCCTGGGTTTCCATTAACACCATTTGTTCCTGGTAGTCCTGTAAAAATCCACACATAATGAATATACCATCAGTAATTTTCAGACAGAGTAAACCAAGACATACTTGTGTGCTGAGAAGTCTATTTAAGATCTGTGTTAGTTAAAAGTACAGTAGAATCTTGACTTACAGATGGCTCCACTTGCAAACTTTTCGACATCTGTACTTGTCCGGCCGCAAAGTTTCACTTCGACTTGCAGCCGGAGAATCGACCTACGGACCAGAAGAGGGATCTGCCTCCGGATGCCTTCCAGGGCTTCTCCGCCGCCATGGGAGGCATCTTGGAGGTCCCCCCCCCACCGCCGATAGTGCCTCTGAAGCACGATCGGTGGCAGAGGGGGATCCCCAGAGGTTCCCCCCCACCAATGCAGGCTTTCCCAGGGTGGAGCGGGCCTACCAGAGGAGAGCTTCCCCTGGTAGGCCCGGTCTACTGTACAGGAAACCTGGGGAGTAAACTGGGACTACTGGGGGAAGCCCTCCCCTGGTAGGCTGAGTCCACCCTGGGAAAACCTGCATCAGTGGGGGAGCTCCAAGAGACCTCCAGCAGCAGCACTGAAGCCCTCAGAGTCCTCCGGCAGCGACAATGGCGGCGGCACTCCGAGAGGCCTCTGGTAGCGGCACTGGAGTCCTCCAGCAATGGCGATGGTGGCGGCAGGGGACCTCTGGATGGCTTCGAAAAGGTAAGGTTTGTAATTTTTAAAATTTATTTTAATTTTTTGTGTGGGTTACTTGGGTTTCTTGGGTGGGTTACAGATTAGTATGTTTTCAGTGCATTCCTATGTGAAATGCATTTTCGACGTACGGACTTTTCAACCTACGGACACCATTCCAATACAGATTAATTGAGGGTCCACTGTACCCATTGTTTGTGCTGGACCTGTGTGGAATCCGATTATAGCTAAGGAGTGATTAGTTACAATGCATTTCTGCATCAGATATATTAGCTCTACTTGGTATTTTAACTGGTTGGAGTAAACATTTGAAGGGTTGAGAGCTGTAGCCCTGCTCCATTCAATAGAGCTCTCCTTATAGAGACTGACCGAGAGCCTCTTGTATGCAGGCGGAATTCCTACAACTCTGCACCCAGTCCTCCATTGTTCAGAACCACGTGGACAGCCTCCATACTTAGCTCAAGAGTACTGCTCTCCATGTGAGCAGGGAGAAAAGCAGAGAAGGGGAGGGGAACAACAGCTTTCCATCCCTCCTCATAGGTTTACTTGAACAAGACAGGATACTTGTATTTGATCACCTGCAATGCAGACAGGGGCACATAACTCTTTAATCAGACTCAAGTGTTTACGACAGGGCTAACTTAAACAAGGGGAAAGGGAGCGGGCTAGTTCTTGCTGCACTTTTTACAGGGTGTCACAGTGTGTGTTTGTGGGGGGTGATCCTTTATGTGTGCAGCCTTTCCAAGCAAGCAAAATCCCAGATTTTTCAGGGTTCTGGAAGACACAGAGAGCCTCTACACATAGCAGTTTACTCATCCTGAATATCGGAATAGGGTTTGTGTGAATCTATTCTCTGCTGTTGCCTCCTTCCTATCAAGAAACACAGTGAAAACACTAATCTATGCTGTCGCTGCCAAGAGACCCCAAGTGTGAGTTACAGCTATGCCTACTAAAAAAAATAAGTAACTGGAGCTGTTGGAATCAAATATGGCTGCCATGTAAATTCAGACAAAAGTGTGTCATAAGTTAAAAGACACATTGTACTAATTAGTAAGAATTGAAACGCAGGACTAGACAGCCTTCAATGGTTAAAGTATCAGACCAGGATCAGAGGGTTCCACAGAAAACTCCCTATTCCAATATGAAACTCACTGGGTTTTGGGCTCCCCACTCACTCACAGGCTAACCTGTTCGAGTGGGGCTGGTGAGCTCTTGGCTTAGTGAAAAGACAGGATGTAAATGTAGTGACTGATGTAATTCTTTGAGGTTAAAGATGCTAGAATTCCAAAGCAAGTTGATTCAGGGCAGAAGCACTGTTCCGGAGGCATTTAAGAGTTTGTGTACCATAAAATGTAATTTCTGGAACATAAAATAAGCAAAGAAAAAAATGTGCTAGACCACATATTGTGATAGCTTGCCTATGTCTCCAGACTTTTTATTAGAGATATACTTAAAATAATCTAGTGGCTCATGGATATATAGCAATTTTTTAAAAAAAGTACCTGGGTATTCAGAAAAAAAAACCCTACAAGAATAACTGAACATAAGTTTTCAGTTCACTTTAACAGGACTTTGAAGAAGACAGATTTAAAATACAGATGACAGCTATTAGATAACATAGCATTATTGCCAACACACTAATAAGTAGCAGCCATTGCCTACGGGCTTGCAAATGTCCTGGTAAGTACAAGATGTTTACATAAAAGGAGATCCTCCCTCTGCCACAGCATCAAGGCACATGGCCGTTCTTTAAGACAGACAGAAAGAGCAGAGATGTATGAAGGAAATACAAAATGAGAACTTGGGTACAACCTTCATGGACCACTAGTACGTCTAAAGAGTTGAAGACACAGAGACTAACTTTTAGGAGATATTTTGGTCTGATTAAGATTACTCATCCCTGATTTTAGATATTGAAGGGAACTCTTGACAACCAGACAACAACTCCTCACAAGAGAAAAGAGAAAACTATTACTTGATCAAAGAGATCGGCTCCTCCAGTTTCTTTAAACCAGAACTAAAAGAGACGTCTCTTCCATGTTCAATATGGGAAGACTTCAAGGTGGGGCAAATACAATGTTGCTAATACATAAAACAGAATAAACAGGGGCCTGCTCCTCCACAACAGGACAAAACATTTCATTGGGCAAGTGGCTAGTGGTACTTTGGCTGCTGAAATGAAAAGAGAAGATCTCCTGTCTTTCTCCAGTGCTTGTTTCTATAGCTGCAGAAGTGGCTGCTGAAGGCTGGCTACGATTTGTTGATTTGGAAGTCATCAGTCTCACAATCTCAGTGCCAACTCTTTGGGAATCTTTCAGAATGAAATGGATCCATTTCTAATACAAGATTTAGGCTACAATATTACATCCAAGATTTCAGTGGGACTTATTTCTGGGTAAACATTTAGGGACCACAATCTTAAACTGCAGTCCTTCCATAGAGACCTGGGAGTAAACAGAATGGGATTTACTTCTGAACTGGCACGTAGAGAACTGACCTATCAATTTTCTTAATAAGATGGGTTATGTTTTGTTGCTGTGTTGGGAGTTTTTGTTTTTGCTGCTATTATTGCAACTCATATTCAGAAGCTCTGGACAGAATAAAAATATACTTTTGGTGGTTTTCCTTTCTGTCCTTTGCAGATATTTTCCATATAATTTCTCTTTCTTGGCTCATGCGAACTCTCATGAGAAAATGGCAAAATTTTCAGACTTTCCAGCCCTAAAACAAGGAACAAGCCCACCCGTTTCTTATGTATGTGGAATAAAAATAAAGATGGGGAAAATCAATCTGCCCCAAGGTTCTGAAATTTCCCCTAGAAAATTGCCTGCATCAAATTGTGCAATTTCAGGCAATAAACAGTCAAACAACACCAAATAATAACTTTAGCAAAACTAGGGGATCACCATTTTAATAGCAGAGAATCAAAAGAAAATTTAGAGTGTGACAACTTATGGATGGAACACCTCTCATTTCTCCTAATTCAGAGTCTCCTGCCAAGTGTTATAATGCATATGAACTATGAAGACTGAAATATAAAATTAATAGGACTTGGAAATATAAAACTGAGTTCAAAGTATGACTGTACTCTTCAAGTTACTGCCTTAGTCTCATTCTCCTGTTAAAAGTAAGCGGATATGGATAGCCATTGTAACAAAATTGTTACTTTTCTAGAGCACTGCTCTCTTTGATTTTTTGCAACCATTATTTAATGCAATTTTTTGTACAATATTCCTTTTTGGGATGAAAATAATTTCAAGTCCTATCGTGGCAGCCCATTGTACCCCTTGACTCTCAAAAGACTGTGCTCATATTGTCTCTGGCATATTCTACAAAGCTGGTAAAGCTTCAAATATCTCCACAATGTTTTTTTTCCCCTCTTTGTAGTTAGGGGTTGTCTGAAGGATGCTGAAGTGAATCAGACTGCTTTTGAAGCCTTCAGTCCACCTTAGAATTTCAGACTGTTAAAAATGTTTACATGTCATCTCCAAGTGCTCCATAAAAGGAAATTTGTGAGGGATGTCTATGTAGCTTTCTAACTCAAAGCTCAGTGGTTTCAAAAAGGGAGTATCTTCCTTTTCACAACCAGTCACTGTGTTCTTGAGAGTGACACACACAAAAACCCAGCAACAACCAAACAACTTACCAGATGGTGTTAAAAGTACAGGAAGAAAAAGCATTAAACTGTTTTTATTTAACATAATACCTAATCCTGCATTTATCCTGAGATGTTGCTGGTTCTCCTTCATGATCGCCTGAACTGTGGAAAAAAAACCTACAGGAATGGAATGGGAATGGACAGGAAGAAATCCATTTTCTCCTGAAACTTTAAAGACCCCTTTCACAAGACCCTGCATTTATCTGTCTGGAATTTGGCATGCTTCATCTCTTCGGAAGGGACAACTACACCTGCCAGTAAAATCTGAATATAAAAAGTTACAGGAGATTCCTTTAGAACAGCTCTCCTGAAACTTTAAAGACCTCTTTCACAAGACCCCTGCATTTGGCATGCTTCATCTCTTCAGAAGGGACAACTACACCTGCCAGTAAAATCTGAATATAAAAAGTTACAGGAGATTCCTTTAGAACAGAGAAAGACATCAAACTGTGAAGTCTCATAGTACAGAAACTGCACAGTTATTCGCCTGATATTATTCAGTTATTTGCAGTTATTCGCAAGAGATGCCTGTGCGCTCAGAGGCAGCTACTGTATCAGCTAATTTCATCCAAATTTGTGAAAAAGTAAAATAGGCTATAGGTGGTTTAGGTATCTGGCTGTGGAGCCAGAGGTTGGGAGTTTGATTTCCCACTGTGCTTTCCGTGAGTACACCCAGACGATGTGGCCTTGGGCAAGCTGCACGGTCCCAGGACGCTCTCAGGAGAAGGGAATGGTAAACTACTTCAGAGTATTCTCTACCTGGGAAACCCTGAAAAATGTTCACAAATCAGAATGGACTTGACCGCATGTGATTAGTTAAAGTGTTAATAACTTAGGTAAAGGTTGCCCTTGACATTTAGTCCAGTCGTGTCCGACTCTAGGGTACGGTGCTCATCCCCATTTCCAGGCCGCAGAGCCAGCGTTTCCGTGGTCACGTGGCCAGCACGACTAGACATGGAATGCCCTTTCCTTCCCACCGAGGTGGTACCTATTTATCTACTTGCATTTACATGCTTTTGAACTGCTAGGTTGGCAGGAGCTTGGACAAGCGATGGGAGCTCACCCCGTCACATGGATTCGATCTTACGACTGCTGGTCTTCTGGCCTTGCAGCACAGAGGCTTCTGCGGTTTAACCCGCAGCGCCACCACATTAATATGGAATGCATATATGGAATAAATCCATAGAGGAAAATAGGATGGTTGAAAAAGTTTGCAAACTTCTGACCTTACACATTTTGAAGATTTCACTTCTTTCATGAAAAGAAGTTTTAAAAACCATAATAGAGGATTTCAAAATGAAGAAAGAACAAATCCTATTTAAGCATAGAAGCAAGAGTAAAACAACTTGGCAGGTGTATTAAGCACCTACGTGTTTGTTAGTTAACCATTAAAAAAAAGAAGCAGAAAGTTCACCAACATAAAAATGTAAAATGTAAGGAGTAAATACAATCCTCTCTTTTGCTAGTTTTTAAAGATGAGCCCGACTCCCAGAGAATCGCAGGTACAATGTGAGAATGGTATGAGTCACTTGGGTAATGCCTGTTTGCCCACAGATGTGCAGCCGTGTGAAATGTTGCTGAAAACCAAACAGAAACACAATGAGCCTCGAGGGGCTGCTGTCATGAGGCAGAATGGAAGGTGCTGAAAAAAGGTGTGTTGGGACATCACTGCTTATATGCAGCAGAGTGCTGGTGTGAGCTGCTTCCCAGAAGTCCACTCAACTCTAATATTCTTAGTGTGGTTTTGTACAGGCAGAACTACCATGGGTAAGAGTCACTGACACCACAGATAATTACCTTTCGCCCCACGAGCCCCTGGACGCCCAGGAGCTCCTGTCAGACCTGGAACACCATCATTTCCTTGCAAGCCAGGAAAACCTCGAGGACCTTGTGGGCCAGCTGGGCCTGGTGGACCAGGAGGTCCCGCGGCACCAGCATGAGACTGACATTGATCACAGTGTGGTAGCCTCCCATTCCGAAGCATAGTAGGCAACTGGGCTGAGGAGAATTCAGACAAAAATCCTTCAGAACTCTTCAGATCATAAGGGAACATGTTGTTATTAGCAGAGATCGAAGACCAAAGAACCTCAAATTGTATGAAACCGGTAGAAAAATAGAGATGGGCATGAACCACCAGTTCAGGTGTTCAGTGCTTCATAGCTCCGCCTCCTCCAGCAGACACCCATGCAGAGACAGCACCTGGAGGAGGCTGGAGGAGGCGGGGAAGGGAAGCGTGGGCACCCACCAGAGGAGGTGGGATTTTGAAGTTCCAAATGCCTGTTCACTCAATAAACAAACCAGCACAAACTGCTTAACTTGTGGTTCATGCCCATCTCTAGTTGAAAATATAACTTTTGCTAATTTAAGCATAGGTCAACCAGATTTCAGTAACTTTGAGATCCACCAATTTCAGTGAGGGAGATTTAAGTTATATAATCACCTCTCCCCTTGAAATCAATAAAAATAAAATGTTCTTAATTCTGCAGGGATCATACCCCCGGTGTATAACTTAAAAACTCCTACCCAGTGTCAAATGAGGTGGGGAAAACTTTTCAGCTCAGGGACTAAATTTCAATTTATGAAGGTCTCAGAACCGCATTCCAGCAGCGAGCAAGGTTAAGGGCACAAGGAAGGATCAAAACAAGGTGAGTAGGAAAAGATGGAAGTCTTGCTGATCTGGAGCTTACAAAGCACAGCCCAATTCTAAACTTATCTAGTTAGGAAGAAGCCCAAGGACAAAAGCTTCCCAGGTATTGACAGTACAGTTCAGCTCAGCTCCATGCAACAGCTTATAAGCCTAGAAAGCCGGACACCGTTCCTTCCTTGCTTCAAAGGGCCTCTTAACTCCAGTCAGTGATCAGAAATAACAGCGGCAGAAGCTTGATGGTGAACACTTGTGGGTTACATTGACTCGGGGGGGGGGGAGAATCCCAATTCCTGTTTTAAGGCAGAGCTGCAGGCACAGTAAATTACACAGGCACATCCAAGCAAGCTGACTACCAGGCAAGGGTGTACATCAGATGCAGTGGTTGGGGACTCACTTCTCAGCACGTCTGCGCAAACCTGCCGAATAAAATCTTCTGAAAAACCTCTCCCCTGAAGTGAACAGAGAAGCATTGAAAAGATTACACAGGCTCATTCTAAAATTCAGTTGATCAGCAGGGAAAGGGGACACATAATCAGCTGGCATACATACAGGCTTTCCATCTGACCCAGAAGCTCCGGGCGGTCCCCTCTCTCCTTGGGCTCCCCTTGGACCAGGTAGACCTATCAAACCATTCACTCCAGGTTCTCCCTTTTGCCCATTGATGCCTCTAATGCCAGGGTCTCCCTTCTCGCCTTTCTGAAATAAAATGAAAAAAAGCAACAGCTGCCCTCTCTGTAGCCATCCAGTGGTCACTGGTTTTATTACATTTCTGTCAGTCTTTTTTCAGTTGTCTTTGAGTGTATCTAACATTACACAGTTATAGCAACTTAATGCAACTTGCCATGGTTCCAGCCTGTAGGCTCATAGTTCTATGAGGTTCAAGGAATTGTTTGTTACAATTCTGGCGTGTTGCACTGGAACTGAGATCTCCTGCAGATATTGGAGTATCATTCACAGGCGGTCTCATGGCATAGAGACCACTGATTTTCAATCATAATCTTACCCCTTATAAGATTTCTACTCATCCCTAGTCACCCTACACTATCTAAAATAGATGAATCATTTTGTTGTTGTTGCTTAATTTGATTCACATCTCATTCTGGACCGTGGAATTTCCAAATAAAGACAGAGTGGGGAATTCATTCCCATCTACTGGAATTAACCTCCAAAGCAAAATTAAATTCTGAAATATTACAATTTCTGAGATCAGAAGTGAAGCATATTAGAGCCATCCTAACTGACTCCAAAGATCATCTAAGAAGGATTAAGAGGATGGGCCGGAAGAGCCTCTTCATGGACAGAGAAATGATGACTTTGTTCTATGCTAGGAAAATAATAATAATAATAACCCTTCCCCACTGTCTGACCAGTGAAAGCTGACAGCGGAAGTGACAGATCACCTGCCACAACATTTCCTGTGGACAGGATTGGGCCACGGATGATTTTTGCTTGCCATGCTATCATCATCTGCCATTATCTTGTAAGTGTGAGTTGTAACAGGTTTTGCTTTCAAAATTCCCGCTTTACTAGTCGTGGTGCATTAACATATAGTTTGTAAACACTGCATCCTGGTCAACTAATGGGCTGGGGCAGAAGATTCCAACACTTTTTAATATAATAAATTCAAAAAAACAAAGGCAAACTTCCTATTAAACCTGAAGCACACCTGGATTATTCTCACTTGCTGTCCACCTTTTGATCCACAATGGCATTACAGAGTTTCATGAACAAATTCAATTTATCACTTTAACACACGGACCATGGCAACTTACATTGCTTCTCAGCCTTTTGGCTAACATGAAGTGTAGTATTTCAGAGTAATTATATTCATTTAGGGAACACACATTTCGAAAGTTACAAAGCATCGTAATTTATTCCTAAAACATATTAAAAAGTAGGGGCTATGGATATTTGGCAACACCTCTTTCTTTCTCTTGTGTTTTCTTTTAAACACAAGTAGCCAACAACAACAATTAGCCGTCACAAAACAAATGGTAAAACTAAGCTGCTGAAACAAAGGGACACCAGTCAAAAATTCCAGGAACTAAAAAGAAAACAATAAACACATACCTCTCCTTCAGCTCCAACTGATCCCATTGCTCCCTTTTAAATCAAAATTGTAAAACACATTATGCATAATTGTGATGCAATACCATTTCTACCAATGCAAGGTCACACTATAAAGAGCAAATCTGCATGACAATATCACATGCTGGGGAAATGATCTCAAAATATAAGTTGTGGAACATTGAGAAGTATGGGCCAGAATCCTACTGGAAACAGCATAGGGTTTGTCTACTTTGCTTGCAGCTAATTGCAGCTTACTGACGGGCATCAGGACACATTTTGGCTCTGCAATCAAACATATGACCAGACATATGGCTGAGACATGCCCTGGTATATTAGCAACTACAGTAATTGCTACCATTTCCCCAAAAATAAGACAGGGTCTTATATTAATTTTTGCTTCAAAAAACACACTAGGGCTTATTTTCAGGGGATGTTTTATTTTAATTTCATGTACAACCGTCTACATTTATTCAAATACAGTCATGTCCTCTTTTTCTGGTTGCTGCACAATAGCAGAGGGCAGGGTTTCACTTAACTGGGGCTAATTTTTGGGGTAGGGCTTATATTACAAGCCTCCTGAAAAATCATACTAGGGCTTATTTTCAGGTTAGGTTTTATTTGGGGGGAAACAGGGTATCAGCCACTGCAAGTTATGCAAAAACCAATAGAATTTTGCCCATAGAAAATATGTCATTTGTTATATATAGGGCTTTATAATACGCATCTATAACTTTGAAATAAATAAAATAAAAACACTGTGCAATTTTTAAAAAGGGAAGGACATCATAGTTCAGGAAGAGAAACAGCAGAGGCTGGATCTGGAGTGGAGTTTCCTTCAGGAGAAAATTCTACTCATGGGATATTCCTGCTGACCAAGTGCTTTTTGACAGGTACCTCCTTAACTCTCCAGCCCTTGCATAAGTACTCCAGAGGGGAGACAGGTTGGCCAGATGAATGGTGGGGGCCAACTACAAGAACCTCTAAGGGGAAATTGGCAAGAACTGCCTTTATTTCAGTAGGAGCATCCACTGCCTCTTAGCCTCTTCTCTAGATGCAACTGGATCCAGCCCACGTTGCAGGGTAAAAGAACAGAAGAACCATTCACAGATGGAATATGTCCCTCCCTTCCACGGAAACAGTTTTAGGAGTGTAAACCACCATATAGATAAGACAATCCCAAAGGGAACTAAAAAGCATCCAAATAAGCTTGAGAAAGGGCACATTTGGATATAATCTTTAAGTACAGATGTTTATGGCATAAGAGACAATAAGCATATTGTGTACAACAACTAGTTCCATGTGTGGATACACTCTGAGCAAGAGGAATTGGAGCAAACTCAAAAAAAGGTAAACAATTCATTTTACCTTCTGCCCTGGAAGACCTGATCTGCCACCTTCTCCTTTTTGACCCTTTTTAAAAAAGAGAACAATTTCAGTATATGATAAGTATTTCAACTTTTCATTACAATATGAACATGTTTATTGCAGTAGATTTAGATTTAGTCATATTCTGAGCAGACCAGCTGAAATTAATGGGACTTAAACTGTAACATGCGGATGTCCTGTTGATTTCAACAGGACTCTTCCAAGTCTGTATCCAACCCATTCTTGGCAGTCATTTACACCCCATCTTTGTTATTTATATTGTTCGAAATCACTTGTAATGAGAAAGTGGCAGAATCATATAAAATGTAAACTTCTAAACACATAAATACCCTAGATGTTTATTAGCACCCAGATTTTGAAGATCCTTATGTTATGTAGGACCTAAACCTAAGGGACAGCTGTATGATTTAAGCAATCACTCTCAACCTTGGGTAACCCAGATGTTCTTGGACTGCAACTCCCAGAAACCCCAGCCAGCGTAGCTACTGGGAATTTCAGTCCAAAAACACCCAAGGCTGAAAATGACTGATTTAAAGGTCACAAAAAGAGGCACCAGGTGGACATTTGTGGAGCTTCATGGATATAAAGACCACCACAGAAAAGAGCACAAACATCACCACTGAAGATGGAAGTCGCAGGAGAAACCCCTCTGTTACTATTCAACTGATTCATTTAGGAGGAGATACCCTTTTCCTAGCTTTAGATTAGAACCCACTCTGCTGGTGCTTGTGTTGAGTAGACTATAGAATAGCATGTTACAAAATAAAACTATTGGTCTGAATTGCAAACCAAAAGCCAAGGTAGCACTATAGCTCCAGTATAGCTCTTGCAGTAACGCACAGGATGCTAGGCTCACCGCAGCCAGCTCCAGTCAAGAACTTTACCACAGCATTCTAGATTTCCAGGTGGACTCTAGTGACAGCCCCAAATGTAACATGTGAAATGGCTCTAGGGTTGAAGGACTGGCCAATGGATTGTCCATCATATTCCAGGATTCAGATGATGCATGGACCTCCTGTCTACCTAGCACAACTGCTTTTAAGAATTTACTTTTTTATATCTGCTGTTAATTTGCTTTAGAGCTGTTTTAATTTATTTCTTTTTACAAACTCTTTTACTGAAAGCTGACCCTGATATTCCACCATAAATGTCAGCATGAATTAGATATTTAACGACTCAACAACCTATGGAAGACATTGTTAAAACTATAATAATTAACACAAACACTTTAAATACTCATATCCTTATTTCACCAAATATTTAATGAACAATTTGCTCTTAGGCAGGCCTGCTTAGATGTCCTGCGGAGTTTAATGGGCCTTATTCTCTGGCTAACATGTTCAGGACTGTAGCCTAAAGAAAAGCAAGCTACAATCAACATTAGCTAATTGCTCTGTCTATTGCCAGAATGTCATTATCAGTTTTAATAAAGCAACTGTCATCTTTTGTATCCCACTTTTTCCACATACACAAAACCATATTCACTGCATATATAGAGTGGAAGACTAAACATTTTACTCCATATTGTATGTACAAAGAAGTAGCTAGCACTCCACAGTACAATAAATCTGCTTTTTGGTCCCATCCCCCCCACACAAACACATACCCTGAAGCATGGTGTTCCAATAAAATGAACTATACCAATAAAGTTAATGTTTGAAATGTTTCACTGTTTTTCACGGTGAAAACTTTTGGTTATATCATCTAACCTGCATGTAATCAAAGTCTAATACAAGGCCATTCCTTTCCCGTAAAATTAATTGTTTTCCAAAGAATTTCACAATGTTCCAAGAAAGAGTGCCTCTACTGGCATTCAAACCAAAGCTTAAGCCAATGTCACACATCTAAATATGATGCCCATATTTTCCTACAGTCAGAAGGATTGTATCTTATAGTTCACCGCTTCCCAACTTTGGGTCTCCAGATGTTCTTGGATGGCAACTCCCAGAAATCCTGACCCGCAGAGCTAGGGATGAAGGCTTCTGGGAGTTGTAGTCCCAGAACATCTGGGGACCCATAATTATTTTTCAAATCAGTATGCTAGCATTATTCTTAAAAATTCAACTGTCTTTTTGATCCAGCTATGGACAGTTTATGTCTGGACTTCTTCAAGCATCATGATAGAACTAGGATGTTTAGGAGGGCCAAGGGAAAATACGGACATACTATGTTTGCTTGTCTTCATCTCATACTCTGATGTATTTTTAATGACAAATTATAACACATTCAAAATATTAATGAAATCCTGTTGTGCAACTCTACTGGTCATAGATTATGATGACTTCATCACCTGATAATGTTGATATTTGATGTGATTTGATTTAACTTTAAATTTCTGATCCTCATGCCTGTTTCAGCTTCAGAGGCTCCCTAGGGATCCCTTTTATCCTGGAGAAGTCTTTGGGAGCCTCAGGACAGGGGGAGTGGGGAGCCTTTAATGCTGAAAAATTTCCAGAAAAAGAACTGACAGCAATTCTCCAGTATGAAAGGTTCCACAAGATTTCACCAGCACAAAAGGGACCCCTCCGGAGTCTCAGAAGGTAAAAACGCAGAGATACAAAGTTTGAAATTAAAATAAAGATTAAGATTACCAGGCGACAATTTATATCCAGCAGAGCTATCCTATCCTGTTGCCTAGCATAGAACAGAAAATAATAGTGAGGACGTGGTAAGTCAACTCCTTCATTCATTCCAGGATTTCAGCTATAGAGTGCACCATTTATATTAAACAAATATTTCAAGTTATTTTGACTATTGAAAAGGGAATATTACCTGGATGCCTTTTTCACCTGGGTTTCCTTTCTCTCCCTGAAAACAACAGAAGCATCAACTTTTCATTACCATGTGATTTACTTACTTTTGATATATATGTACAAGTGAAATGAGTGAATCCATAAACTAGCATAAGAAAAATGAAATTGTTAGCCATGCCGCAGAAAGGCACTGTGGGGTAGATCCAAAGCCATTTTTTCTAAAAGCAAACTCTTCTGATACTGCAAGATCCTTGCACAAGAAAAAGCAACTGGAATCCAGAGGGTCTGGGTACACATCCATTTGCAGAAGGGGGACTGTGGAATTCCTTACACAGTCTCTTTCACCGGGCCCCATGATATGCTTTTGTGCAAGGTGCTGCACAATATTTTGCAAAACTTTACACAGTGTCTTCTAGTAACCTTTGAACAACAGACTGGTACACATTCATGGCTACAGTTTCTTCCACTTCCATCTCTGGATCCTGTTCACTCTACCAAACTATTCTTTCTTAACCTCTGCCAAGGTTTAGATTTTTGGGATATGACCTACCAGCATCTCCGATCTTGTACAACACTTCTAAATATCCTCACTAGGACATCTAGTCAAAAGAGAGCAGCCACCCATCTGACTCCATATTAAAGGATACATGAGGCTTCCTTGTGTTTGTATAAATCTCTGATGCCTTTTATTATAAGAGATGTTCCAATGTCAGAAGCAGACCACTATATGTTATAGAGATCTCTGCTATAGTCATCATAATTTAATTCCGAGGCTGGAGGATTTGTGAAGCTGCAAGATCTTTTCCCTGGCATTATTAAGGAGTGGAGGTCGATCTAGTTTTATTTCTAGTATGACATTGTATTTATGTTTCAGAAGTCTAAGATCTAAGCCCAGGGATTTTTGTACAGACTTATATAAAATATATGAAATATCAAGACTATCTACACTAAGCAGATGTGAAGGATCTACCACGCTTAGTGTGTCTGGACCAGTGTCAACAACTACAAATAGCAAAATTAAAAACGGTGAAGTATTGCAGGAGATATTTAGCATTTGTCCTCAACTGCCTTAAAAGATTTGAATATATCCACTGTATATGCAGTCATACAGTGGACAAGGTTCACTGTATGACTGCAATATGTTAATATACAATAGTTATGAAAGTGCTGCTGATTATACAAGGCTAACGACTGAAAGCAGTTGAGAGTGTTGTTATACACCCTCCATAATCCAGGTTTCTTATGTAACTATGTGATTTATTCAAGTGATGAGTTCACTAAAGATGCAGTGGTCAAACTGCATCTGGCCCATAATTACCCTGTATGAGGGAAGTTTGAGATGTCTTGAACCTAATTATGGGGAGGGCACAGTCTTACCATCTCTATCTGCACTCACTGAGGGACATCTGAGCCTAGGCCTACCTTCCAGAATTTCATTCTGACAGTTCAGTAGGCAGGCAAGTTAAAATCCTCTTGCAGTAATGGCAACTATGATACAGAGTTGGAGTCGATAGTCCATCCTGAATCCCTCATGTAAGGTTTAAAAATTTTTAAATATCCTCTAAGAATAGCAAGAAGACCTGTCAAAACAAGCAGATCTGGGCAAAGCATTTATCGCAGCACTGTTTTTTTCTCTCATACACTTATCTGGATGATCTGTCAAGATCAGGCAAACACTTCATAATTCTTCATCTGCATTTTTCTTCATACTTGACTGACAAGGTCATAAACATCTACCAGCATTGAATTACATCTCCAAGAAGCTTCACAAGCCAAAGAATAAACATAATTGAATATAAAATATTGCTAAAACTTTTTTTAAGCCAGCACCCTGAGTTTATTATGATATTAGTAATTTCCAAAATGATCAAACACTGGAATCTTTTTTCCTGCTCTCACTAGTTTTATGTCTCCAAATTTTTGTTTTCTTAACTTGAAACATCCGAAAAACTACAAATCTAAATCATGGAATGCCTTCCAAACTAAATTGTTATAAACTCTAATTTAATTCTTCACTTACTTGTAAAAATGGATATGGTTGTTGGACAAAATATCTGCTATTAAGATATGTCTAAGACTAGGGAAATGGGGTGTCCCGAGGATTTTCACAGTGGGATATTTTTCTTAAATGTTTACAAGGAGAAGACAGCCATGCTAGAGAGTGGGCAGATGAAGTGCATCCCCTCTGGGTGGTTTTTGGCCTACACTTTCTGTAAGCCCTAGCCAGTATAGACAATGTTGAGGAACACTTGAGAGGTCCAGCCCAACAACAGCTAGGCAGCCATACTTCAGCCATCCAATCTGTACAGGCACAGAAAAATGAAAACAAGGACATAACTATGTAGCAATATGTACTGCTGCATTCACATGCCTAGTCAGCATGGCTGAAATCCAACAAAATGGATCCACTGATGGATCTTCTTCCATTAGAGGAAAATCTTCCCACTGAAACTCTATATACAGCCCCAAAACCTGTTCTGAGAAGTCGGGAGACCTTCTGGACCTGGTGTTTTGTTTTGTTTTTGCTTGACCAACAGGGATGTAGAGCAGGAAGGAGAATGTTCTACAATGATGGCTGATGGTCAGCTACTAGTGTAATGTTGTTTTGGAGCCCAGTTCATAAAATATGATGTGTGTTGACTTCAAGACTTATCTAAGGGTGTGACTACTTTGATGCAATTTGATTTACAGCCTGTATTATATTTGAAATTGAATCACTGCTGACACAGGGGCTGCGGATTGATTTAGTTCATCCTTCACACTGGATGCAATGCTAGTTGCATGCCACCCCACAGCCCCCCTTTTTCCCCTCCTTCCTCTGACCCCACTGTGCTGATCCTTTTACGGTTTGCTGCAAAGCCACTTTCTCATTTAAAGCTTCCAACTACTACATTTCTCAAAACCTTTTCTGTAGAAAAATAACAGAAATGTACTTAAGAGTCTAGAGAGGTGGTTCCCAACCTGGGCTCCCCAGATGTTCTTAGACTACAACTCCCAGAAATCCTGGCCAGCACAGGACATCAAACGTTTGAAGAGTAATTTTGCAAAATACATCATCATTCACATCAGAATGATTCCATAACAGGAATTACCACCTCTCCCTTTCCATCTATTACTCTTTTCTCTTACTTTCAAGTAGCACATGTGGGAATTACCTCATCTCTGGTCATGTATGGTTTTAAACTACTGGCATGATACACTTTAAAAGTCCATTTTCAGATCTGTCAATTAAGTAACAGCACTAAGCTTTTGCTTCACAAAAAGGGGCCTTCCCACACAATCTAAAGCTGACTGCATTTGACAAGATTCAGGACTAGAACCCAATCCCCCACATTAAAATCACATTGCTTTGCTTTTACATGTCCCCCTCCCTTTGGCCTGAACTTTAAGCCTAAACTGCCTATGTCACCTACAAACACATCCCCATCCTTACAATAATATATCACAACTAACTACATGTTAGTTGAATAATTCCAACTTGAAAAAGTAGAAGCCCCCAGAAGCAGAGGGGAAGAAGCACAAAGGGCTGGGAGGAACGTACCTTCTGATTTTCAGTCCCACTGGGTGGGGCTCTGCCTCTCTCACATGCAACTTCACCCGTGTGTGCGCGTGACTCCACCCTCACGCGCTGGGTTCCCTCACGACCGGAACTTAACACATTATTTATTTATTTATTTATTTATTTATTTATTTATTTATTTATTTATTTATTTATTTATTTGATTTTTCCCCCGCCCCTCTAGACAAAGTCTACTCAGGGTGGCTTACAATTAAAATCTTCACCCCACGCTGCCATGTCCTTTTTAGAGAGAAGAGGCTTTCTCCTGACAACCTTTCCAAACAAACCGTACTTCTTCAGTCTTTTTCTAATTGTACTGTCATGAACTTTAACATTTAATGTGCTAATTGAGGCCTGTAAAGTCTGAGATGTAACTCTTGGGTTTTTGGCAATTTCTCTGAGCATTGCACGGTCTGACCTTGGGGTGAATTTGCTTGGACGTCCACTCCTGGGAAGATTGGCAACTGTCTTAAATGTTTTCCACTTTTGAATAATCTTCCTCACTGTAGAATGATGGACTTCAAATTGTTTGGAAATGGACTTATAATCCTTCCCAGATTGATGGGCAGCAACAATTGCTTCTCTACAATCATTACTGATGGGTTTCCTCCTTGCCATTGTGTTAACACACACCCGAATGCACCAGACCAGCAAACTGCTAAAATGTCAGCTTTTATAGAGGTGGTCACACTTGCTGATAATCAGTTACTCAAGGGCACTGGGTTAGCAGCACCTGACTGCTACTTAGCCTCTTAATTCCTGTGGAACCAGTAAGGGTGTACTGCATGGAGGAGGAAAACAGCTCCATGCAGGGACACAGAGACACATGTGTGCACACATGCCCAACTTAGAGCCTCTGTGCTGCAAGGTCAGAAGACTAGCAGTTGTCAGATTGGGGAAAAAGGAAAATTAAAGAGAAAAAAATCAAGTGTTGGCTGGAGGGAAGGCCTGCCTAAAGAGCCAGGTCTTTAACTGACTCTCATGGCTTGGAAACGGGGATGAGCACTGTGCCCTAGAGTCGGACACGGCTGGACTAAATGTCATGGAGAACCTTTACCTTAAAGGGCTTCAAATTTTTCATCCCAGGAGGATTCAATCGTGTTTTTCCCCCTGCAGATGCTCTTGTAAATACATGGACATGTCTGTAGCCTCTTGAGGGAGGATGAGCTGGAGTGTGTGTGTGTGTGTGCGCGCACACGCACACGCACACACACACACACACACACAAGCAGCACCAGTGTTCATGTCTCTTGTCCCAAGTCACTTTTTTTAAAAAAACAGCTTCCCGCCCAGGTGGAATGTGCAGGAGAGACATGCAAAAGCAAAGCACCATGAGTGCTTCATTTAAAGCTCTCAGATTACTACATTTCTATAGAAAAATAATGTGCAAAAGGCACTTCATAGTTTCAGAATACAGAACATCAAATGTTCAAATAGTAATTTTGCAAAATATATCATGATACAGGATCACCCCATTACCAACATCCATTTGTTAC